AATCTAAAGCTTTATTGCACTGGAACTCCTTATGGCAACGATTACTACCCGATCCCAGGGGGAAAAGGACAAAAGCCTGACCCTGTCCAAGTCCCACTGTTGTGGGTAGGGTGGCCAAAGCCAAACCCTGAGCTCCACCACTGTTGGTGAGGGGCCCAAAACCTAAGCCCAAGGGCTTCAGCCCCAGGCAAGGGTCCTGTAACTTTAACTCCCTGCCACCCAGAGTTGAAGCCCTCAGGCTGAGCTTTCACTTTGGCCCTTGGAAGTGGGGCTCAGGCTTCAGCTTCAGCCTGGGCCCTGAGTCCCAGCAAGTCTAATGCCAGACCTGGCTACCCACTTCGGGGTCTGACGCACAGTTTGAGAACTGTTGCTCTAAACTGGTGATACATCTAGTCTGGCAGCCTTAGGATATGACGGTGCTGAACTAGAGAATTTTCTGAACCATGGGAGATCAATATTCTCTAATAGCATTACTAACACTTCCACTGCTTCCTGGGCTCTTAGTGTGCAATGTAGATATACTCTAATTTCAAAATAAGCTATTCTGGAATAGTGATTCCAAAATAGCATGTCTACATTAGGGAAGCCTGTCTCAGACTCAGGCTTTGAGGCTTCCCTTCCTTGCTATTTTGAAATAAGCTATCTCAATTTAGAGCCCCAGGAGGCACTGAGGAGGAATAACTTAGAATGGCCCTGGTGAGGGGCTATTTTGAAATAGCAGCAGTGGAGCATCTACACATGCCTTATCACAAAATAGCTATTTTAGAATAGGCATTATTTCTCACAGAATGAGGTTTACAGATTTTGGAATAAGCCGTATATTATTTCAAAATTATTTCAAAATAATAGAATGGCTGTATAGACGCTTGCATTGTTATCTCAAGATAATAGTGCAGTGCAGACGCATTCTTAGAATACTTTTGGGGTAAGTCAGAGCTAAAAAAACAGTGCAGAACACTGAAAGCCAGGACTGGTGGCTACAAGCAAACTTTGAGACCACAGAAATCTTGGAGACACCCACGATAAGTGGACATTTGGCTAACTAAAATCATGCTGGACCATGGGTGTAACAGATAGAGAGTAACAGACAAAGGAGGTTAAACCTGTATTATCCTTTTGTAATCTTGGGAAAGGTACAGAATAGGCACATTGGAAACCCCTTTATTCAGGCTGTGGAGACAGCACATTTCTGACACACTGTATGGAAGGTATCTTACACACTGTATGGAAGGTGCGAGGAGGGCATTTTTCCTGCTATTTTGTCAGCATCTGAGAAAAGCTCCATAATACTGTCACACTGATCATCTTCTCCTGGCCCACCCAAATATATGGAAATTTTCCTCTCAAGAGTGATTTCATATTGTATTTTTGACAGAACTATAAGAGCAATCCATCTTTAGACTCCCCATTGGCTCTAAATCAATGTAAACAGCATTTGGATAATGGAGGTGCCATTGGTGCAGTTTTGTTCTCTGTGGAGGCAGCATTTTCTAGAGGGCCAATGTACAGGGCAGTCCTAATTTTTACATGAAGTTCTATTAACTGCCTCTGGGCTTTCATGAGAGAACAGTAACTATACACAGTGGTGGAACTATGGGGATACAACACTGAGGAAAAAAATATGTCTGAAATGTCACATGATAGACATTTTCCAAAACATTGGAGTCTCCTCAGGGCAGTCAGAATGGGCACTGCCTATTCTATCTTGAATTAGATCCATTAAAATTATTAATTATTGTTGTAAATTGTCTCCAAGCCCATCTTTGGCTGAGAAATTTGCCTTTCAATTTTCAGAGGTCCCTATCCAAAATATGCCATTTGAAAGCCTATCCCTTTTAAGAAGGAAGGAGGAGGGGGGCCTCCGTAGAAAATATGGGAGTGTAATGCTTCATTGAACTGGGACTATGGCTCTTACTAAGTAGGTTAATCCCATGCCTTTAACAACAGTTTATATTTGCCTATCCCTGGATGAATGGTTAATGGGCAAACATTTCATATTCACTGCTCACTTTTTTCTCATCCCTACAAGTGTGGTGAAGTTTGGTTCAACTAAGCAAAAGAACTGGCAGTTTTAAGCAGAGACATCACAAAGTCTGAAATGAGGAATAACAAGAGAATTAATTTACAGGTTTCAGATACACTTATACAGACAAAGAAAAAAAGCCTTAATAAATGCAATACTCTTTAAAAGCTTGCTAGTAAGACATTGTTCTGAATGTCTGTGTGGTTAAGAAAAATAATTATTGATTTTTTAATATCTGGAAACAATAATGAAAATCCTCACATTTTCACACTAATTTGAGGGAACTCACCATCTACAATTCTAATATAATTCCTTATCTTTATGCAGTGTAAAAGAAATCTCTCAAAATCTATAAACCTCTGTCCACATATTAACACTCTCACATTAGCAAAAACTGTATATACTCTGAGAAATGAAAGAGGAAAAACTCTAGGAAGTTCTCACCCTGAGAAGGTAAGAAGACTTCAGTTTAACAGATACAGCTTTACCTTACCTGATTCTGCAGTTTAATACAGCAATACACCCTTAATTCTTCTCTTTGAATACAACATATGCGGGGAACTATAGCATTTGACCTTCAACATTTCTACAGAAGAAACTCCAAAGTAACCTTTAACTTCAATAAAAAGCCATGTTCATTCTCCCCCTTATGCTCAGCACAGAGCAATCTAATACACCTCATCATGTGGTGTGTTGCCATAGCAGCATTGAATCCAGCTGCTGTAATACAAAAGACTGACAAAAAGTTGATTTTTTTCCCCTCCACCCACCTTGTAAAAAGTCAGGGTGCTTTTCTTGTGCAGTAATTCTATTCCAAATATTTTTC